TTATGTCCTCTAGGGGACGTGGACGTAAAGGGACGTAAATTTTATATGCTAAATACTTTAGGGACCCATCTTTAATTATAACTGTATTTGCTATTTTGGTACAGAATTTGTTTGAAATTACTTTTGAAAATATAGATGTCATATCAGCTCCTTATGATATTCTACAAACTATCAAAGTACAAATTTCCATCACCTATTAAAAATTATAAAAAACATTACAAAAAAGAAATCAGATTTTGATACTCATATATGTTTTCTACTTAGAAAAATTGTTGAAAAATATTCCAAATATAATGCTTGTTATAAATAATAAGAATTTAATTTGACATAAACTGTATATATAAATTTTTCAATTGTATACCCCCAATAATATCAGCTTTTAATGATGGATTGTTTATATGTGTAATTTAAAAACAATCCACAAAAAAATTTTTTTCCTATTTAGTCTCTATCACTTTATTTTATTGTAAAATAGACAAGATCTCTCTTGTTGATTAATGAAAGATTATAAGTAAGCTTTGAAGCCATGGCATTTATGATGCACTGATTCTGGCAAAATTAAATAATACTCTCTTTTTACAATATACAAGTATATTACTTAACTAAAAAAAAATCATAAACTTGAATCTATTTTACATCCTGAACATCCAACAATCTTAACTTTTCCAAATTGTCACATATTAGAAAGAATTATTCAAAATAATCAATACCTTATCTGCAAAGAAATTGTCATTAAGCTTAATAATATGGTCAAAATATCAGTATAAACAGTAAATTATAAACTTAATAGGCTTGGTTACTGCTTAAATCATTCTAAAACAGTGCCTTTACTTATCGAGAAACAATGTGAACGTTATGTGGAATAGGCAACTACTCATGTAAGGCAAAACTGGAAAAATATTGTATTTTCAGATAAAACTACATTTCAGATATTTTATAACACTATAACTGTATTCTATAAGGCTAATACAAATGTTTCACAAAAAAGAATTCCAAAATATTCTACAAAAGTTCATGTATAGGATATTTTCTTGACATGGGGAATGATTGGTTTTCATATTTTCACTTAGAATATGGATGGATCACTTTACCATAACATTTTAACTAATAATCTTTTTGAGAATATATTTAGAATTATGTCATTATGCTGGATCTTCCAACAGGACAATAATCCAAAGTATATGGCAAAAGAAATGTCAGAACTTCTTTATTGTTAAGTCCCAAAGATCCTTAATTGATCTTCCTATAGCCTATATTTAAATCTAATAGAGAATTTATGGGCTATTATCAAGAAAAAGGTGAATAAACAAGTAAACAAAATAATCAGGAAAAAAAAAATTAATATTATGGACTGGCATAAGATAATTTGAGAAGAATGGAAGAATATTTCCATAGACCTATGTCTTAATTTGACAATAACATGTCAGGATAGTTAAACAATATTATTGAAAATAATGGGAAAAAAATAGATCATTAGTATATATAATTTTTTTTTATAGATACTATACTGATGTCATTATAAAACTGCAACCTAAATAAATAAATTTTACAAAATTTATATTTAAAAAATGATTCTCATTATTTATGACAAGCATTGTATATAAAAAAAGAGAATTTTAGTTAGAATATAATTGCTTCTTTAATATTATAGAAATTTGAAGAATATTAAGAACTATTGAATGAATTAACTATAATCACTACAATTCTTAATCCACAGACTAAATTATCTTTATTTAAAACAGGTAAAAAAATTATATTATTGGATAAATCAATTATAATCATTACAATTCTTAATTTATAAACTAAATTATCTTTATTTAAAAAAATTATACAAGCAATTGTATTTTTGAAATCACAAATACATTTATATTTTATCTTTACATCAAGTTTATTTTCCAAATCTAATTCCAAAGATCAAGTGATTTTGACAAGAGAGTATTTCAATTGGCTTAAATATAATTAAATAAAAGTTATAAAAAATATACAAGTTCAATTAATAAATTCATAAACATTATAAAATATACCATTTAATAATGAACTTGAATAATATCTTGTATTTCATATAAATAAAAATACATTATATTATTATAGTGGCAGGTATATGCAATTGAATTTCTAATTTTATCAAATATTGCATGAGATTATCTTGCAATACAAACTTCTAGCATTACTTATAAGCAAGCATTTTCAATTGTTGCAAATACAATATCAAAAACATGAAACTGTTTTTATCCAGATATAGCTCAAACAATTTTATGTACAAAAAGTTGAATTCTTAATAATGTTGGTGAACTATAAAATATTAAACTTAATAAAGATAATCTTTTGTATTATTAATGTACTAATATTACATAATAATAAGATCTACAGACTTCAGTTCTAAATTAGAACTTGGTCTTTTAATTCCAGTTCTAAAGACTTGGTCCCAGTTCAGGACCGAGGACTTTTATCATTCCTAATGCTAGTGTCTTACAGTTTATATGTTAGTGTAAAAAGTATTGTCATCTTTTTTGTCGTATGTTAGTAACAATTTTAATAATTACGATTATATTAAACTAATTCTAAAAAAAAGTGATATACTGTACATGGGTGGAACGACAGAATGTGATCGGAAGTCACATGATTTGTCATTTTTTTCTGTTTCACTTTGTTACTATGATTTATCAGCATTACATAATCTCTCGTTAATTAACGTTCATTCTTAGTCTGTGGAATGATTTGCATGGCTATTTTCGACTACGCAAGTCGGCCGTCCTTTCCCATATATCACTTTACGAAAAAATAGCTTTTATTCGCGTGTAAAAGTATAATCCATGCATGTTCTTTGTGGCACCTGAGGCAGTATACGCGTCGCGTTATATAGGGGGAAACTAGGGTTCTCGTTTTCTTACACCTTAACTAATATAATGAAATAATAATTTAAACCACCATTTCAACTACTTCCACCTGGTGAGGCCTTAACTCCTGGTCCGAACATTTTTTAGCTGAATCAAAAGGACTATTAAACCCAACTGACTTTGATAACTTGGAAAAACAGGTGTATTCTCTTCTATTTTGCAAAGGGAGGGTAACTCCTAGTAAGTCGCGTCGCGGTTTCAACTCGGAAGAATTACTGTTTAGACCACTTGGGTAACCAATATAGAGTTGCAGAGAGATATTTCTGGTGAAGAAGCCTCCGGTCGGGTGGATTACGCAATAACTGGAATGGAAGATCTTTTGTGTATTACCGAGGGAAAACCACGAAACGTCAAGATAGGATGGATACCTACAGAATATCAAACAACTTGAAAGCTCGTTCCACATGAATAAGAAGCGAACGGCAGATGAGGTATTCAAGGGTGGGGATTACGACTATTTATATGGGATTGTCTCTACAGCTATGGATTGGCATTTCATTATGTTTACTTCTGATGAGATTTTCTGTACAAGTAATAGCGAATACCAAATAAATCTTACGAAAAAGGCACTTAAGGGAAATCAGAAAAATTTGAGATGATATAAAACAGGTGATTAGTATAATCGTGGGGTTATTGAGAGATAGGGTGTTAGCGTGTGATTGGCCTGAAAATAAGAGGCGACGCGTGCAAGAAAAAATTACCAAAAAATAGTCACTCTGTTTGCCTCTGGCGATGTATAGATAGTTATTCCATCCCACATGTCTAAAGCAATAACTGTACTATTTTATTAAATAAATCGGGAATTTTTTCTAGGAAAAAGTAATCGGGTTACAATTTGTAACGCGCACGTGGTTTTTCGAATAAATCTGTGCCTTATAAAAAGTTAAAGGAATGCAACACGAAAAATACGAATTTTCTCATAGAGGTGACCCAAATAATTTAGCGAGAGCAGGATCTACTCAAGAAAGAATTGTGCGAATTTTATTAATTTTCAAGAGAATGCGAAATAATCGAGTCTATTCATGTTGATCCCTTAATGGTGCTAATTTTTTTGCGATCCAACTTGAGTATCGGCTCACCCTTCTTTTTTTTCTATGTTCGATTAATCCATTTCGTGTTGAATTAACACATAACCATATTTACAAAAAATGCAATTGTTAATTTGATGAGCACATAAAATGCAGATAGATAATGAAAGCACATAAGTACTTACAGCCCATAATCAATTTATCGATCCCATATTATATAACCACACAAAGTTTGGCATATCAACCCAGTTTTTCGGTAGGCAGAAATGATCAACCTCGAATAACCTATGTA